TTTTTCAATTTAATTTTCAAAAGTTTCATGTCCCTGTTGTCAAGTTTTAAAGAAAGAAGAAATAAAGGAATCAAATCAAGTGGTATGGACTATGAACTAAAAGTTAAACAGGTTAGTTTTAAAAATGGGGTACTTACACAAATACCTTATATTTTGGGGTAGTTTTGAAAAATATGATAAAGTTGGATTAACTAGTAATTAGGTACCAAAATGGAAAAATCAAGGAAAAATTGGAAGAAGAAAGAAGAAATATTCCACAAATTCGTTCTTTATTCAAAGTTTGAAAAAGATCAAGGCTACTTCAATATTGAAAGCTTTGGAAAAGATCGAGAAAACCTTTTTGTAATACAAAAACAAAATTACATGTTTTTTTTAATGTTTTTGGCTCCTTGTATAAATTGTTCCTCAATTTTGTTATTTTAAATTTGTTTAGTATTCTATTTGCATAGATTATGAAAGTAACAAACGTAATTATCAATTTCCAGTTAAATAATTAGTATTTATGAAGTTTCTTTTGGAATATTTTGTTATTCTGATCGGAAACATGTTTGAAAATAACATTGTTGAACTTCAAGGGAAATGAATTATGTCAATACATATGAAAAATTAACTTTAAATCAATTAAATCATTAATGCATGCAAGGTGTTTGAGAAAAGAAGAATATGAATTCCGTCACTTTTCTAAATAAAAAAAAAAAAAAAGAAGAAGAAGAAAAAGTTATTCTATATCATTTGAGCAATTAACTAGATGCATACGTGCGCATTTTTAAAAATTTGAACATATTAATTCAAGTTCTCTTTTATGATAATACATATGAAAAATAAAATTTTGAATCAATTAAATAATTGATACATGCAAGATGTTTGACATAAGGAGAATGTGAATTCTTTCACTTTTTTTTTATGAAAAAATAATATTTTGTCACTTTAAAAAAGAAAAAATTTACATTATATCATTGGAGCAATTAATTAGATGTATACACATGCATTTTTGAAAATTTGAACACACCAATTCAAATCCTGTTTTATAATAATAAATATGAAAAAGAAAATTTTGAATCAATTAAATCATTGATGCAAGCAAGCTGCTTGACACAAGGAGAATGTGAATTCCATCACTTTTTTTTTTTTGTCAATTTTCTATGAAAAAATAACATTTTGTCATTTTGTTTTAAAAAAAGTTGCAATATCTCATTGGAACATTAACTAGATGCATACATGTGTGTTTTAGAAGTTTGAATGTACGAATTCAAGCACTGTTTTATGTTACTACGTATGAAAAAGAAAACTTTTAATCTACTATATTGATGCATGTAAGGTGTTTACTCAATGAAAATTTGAATTCTGTCACCTTTCTATGAAAAAATCGCATTCTGTCACTTTCCTCTAAAAAACAAGTTACAGTATCTTATTAGAGCAATAAACTAGATGTATATGTGTGCATTTTTGAAAATTTAATATATGAATTTAAACCTTATTTTATATTAATACATATGAAAATCTGCGACATTTTCTATGTTTGGAAATTTAAATATACTAATTGAAATCTTCTTTAAATCTTGCAGTTAATTCATATTTATTTGAATCAATTCAATTGATGCATCCAAAGAGTTGCGAAAATGAGAGTGTGAAAAAGTGATACTCTGTCACTTTTCTATGAAAAAGTCGCAGTATTTAATTGAAGCAATTAACTAGATATGTATATGTGTGTTTTTTAAAATTAAAATATACGAATTCAAACATTATTTTAATCTTGCATTCAATTCATATTTTTGTAATCAATTCAATTAATGCATCCAAGGTATTTGCGAAAATGAAAATGTGAAAAAATGACAATCTGAAAAAGTGACATTATCTGAAAAAGTTGCAGTATCTTAGTGGAGCAATTAATTAGATGCATACATCTGTTTTTGAAAATTTACATATACGAATTCAAATCTTATTTTAATCTTGCATTCAATTCATATTTGTTTAAATAAATTCAATCGATACATTTAACGTTTTTGCAAAAATGAGAATGTGAAAAGTGAAAAAATTAGATATTTTTTTTCTTTTAATTTCTGTTTTGGCTCTACCGGTTTTAGCATATTTACGGGCTATTTTATTCATTCATCAATTGAGGTTTTTGTTATCGTTTTGAAGTAATCACGACAAACTTTGAAATACATATTTCGAATTTAAAAATCGATAAACGACGAGTTCATAATAACAAATCGAGAATGCCGAAAGAAATGAAATTAATAGTTAAGTTTATTTTGCATTCAATAATTCATGCAAAATAATTTTCAACATTTAAACTTCGTCCATAACATATTTATCATGGCTACGTTGCAAGCTTTCTAACAGATTTTAAATCGTTCAAAATGGATAATCGTAGCAGAAAATATAGTATCAAACGAAAAAAATTTAAAAAGTGAAAAATATCATATGGGAAGTGCCGCCGTTAGTCTTTGGAACGATTTTGCTGACTTTCAAGTGTTTTATATTTTTAGTGGATGTAATAATTACGATTATTAACACTTTAATTTGGGGAAAAATTTACAACCCAAGCTTTATATATTTCAAAATAAAAAATCAGGTCCCAAGGTTTAGAATTGCAAAAATCAGGTTTTTCATAAATTAATTAATTATATTTCACAATTATTATATTAAATTAAATATTAAACTGTAATATAATATAA